GGCAATCAGAAGACGATGGATATTATTCCTCCCTCCCCTGACCCTGCCCACTGCCCCCAGGCACACCCACAGGTGCACACCTTTCCCTGGTGAGGGCTGAATCCTCCCCCACCCCACCCCCCGGCTCTCCTGCCACTTAGTGTCAACGGTATGGCCACAGAGATGGAATGAGGAACTTGAGGGAAGATAAGAAATCAAAACATACGGAGGGTGCTTGTCCAGAGAGCATAAACGACTCTTCATGATAATACGGGAACCAAAGTCTCAAATTAAAAATAGAGAAAGGCATGATGTGGCTCTTACTGCACTCCCACCGCAGAGGAGAGTCATTGTCATACAATCACGGAGAACATTATGCTGATTGGCAAGAGCCGGGCTTTGTGGAAGGGACCAACTTCCCCACAGCTAATCTGCAGTGGAATTGTTCAGTGTCAGGCACAGCTTTAATAATATTGTTCTGGGCTGCGCTGGATGTAAATATCGCCCTCTTCATTTTGTAAGCAATCAAAGAGAAGCTTTATGGACAGGAGAACATGAATGGTTATAATATCTGTGCGGGAAAAACACATGAACAAAATCGGGGAGATCAAAGACGGCTGAGCTTTAAAAACCCTTTGCTTTCTGGCTTATCTCCAATCTGTGTCTTTCCAGCATTGCACATTAGACATGTAACAAAAGACCACACTCTAAAAGTGGCCCTTGACATTGTTAAAAAGTGTAGGATTTGCAATCAGACTCAGGGGGAAAAACTCAAAATATTAAATCTAGACAGTTGGACTTTTGTCATGGTCCCTTCTCAGTTAGGAAGCACCTACTGTGTGTTTGGGTGCTGTGTTTCCTTCAGAAGCTATATCCAGTGCTGATTCAGAGTACTAATAGGTGGAGCCACAGGAGCCACGTGCAGGGCCTGTGTGGCTCTACCAGTTTTGAGCTGTGTGGCCTTGGATAGCAAGTTCTGTAAGCTCTCTCTGTTTCCGTTTTGTTTTGTTTCGTTTTGACCTGTTGGACAAGGACAATGCATATCCCCCAGCATTGTTTTGAGAATTAGATCTTTGCAGCCCCAAAGTCCAAGCAGACCTCCCTAATCTGCGCAGGAGCCCTGTGACGGGTGCAGCTGTGTCCCCTAAAATGATAGGCGGATGCCCCTTCGCGTCTATGAGCGTGGTCTTCTTTTGAAAACAGGGCCTTTGCAGATGATCAGGTGGGGACGAGATGACCAGGCCATGGCGACAGTGACTGGTGTCCTTTGGAGAAGCGGGGCATTTGGGCCCAGAGACATGGTCGGAGAGCGTCATGTGGGCATGGAAGCTTGGGGTGCTGCATCTACAAGGCAAGGAGTGCCAGCAACCTCGAGAAGCTAGGACGACAAGAGCAGAGCTTCCTCTGGGTTTCAGAGGGCCCTCAGCTCTGCCACCCTTGGTTTTGGGCTTCTCGCTTGCGTAATTGTGATCAAGGGGTTCGGGTTGCCTTCAGTTACCCAGTTTGTAGAGCGGTCCTGACAAACTAATACAGGAAGAAAAGTATGCCCATTTTCAAAAGAAAAATTCAAGCTCAGAGGTGCAATTTTCTGGCTCAAGACTTGGGTGAGCTGGGATTTGAACCTAGGCCCTTCTGAACCCAAGGTCTGCCTGCTTCCCGTTCACTGCGTGGCCTCTCAGGATCAGAACTGGGGGTGTCAAGGCCAGTGGGGGTGGCCGGCAGTGCCCTCTGATTAGCCTGCGTCTCATGGGGACACCAGGTCCGAGTCCTCTGATTGTGAACAGCTCATTAAGTAAAGAGCAGCGAGCATTTGAGAGTGACTTTTTAAAAAGAATCGACTTTTATTTATAGTGACGTTCCAGTCATTAATTTCAAAGGAAGAAAGCCCAAAGCAGAAGCAGGTTCATTAAAAATTTGACATTAGTAATTTAATTAAATTGGGTCTTTGCGTCTCATTGCGGAAAATGAGCGTTAGTTCTACACCGGTTCTCAGCCCATTTCCCCTGGTTGGCTCCCTCCCCTCACCTTAGCTTGCTTTCCTCTCCAAATGTTTACCTGGCCCACACCTCCCACCCGCAACACTAAAACACACGTGCACACACTCATGCACACACACAGTCACTGCCTCCACTCTAAGCCAGCACCACAGGATCCTGGGGAACTCCAGGAAAGCCAGTCACAGGGGGCCATGGGAAACACCAAGTGAGCCAGCAGCAGGGGACCATGGGAAACACCAAGTGAACCAGCAGCAGAGGATCATGGGAAACACCAAGTGAGCCAGCAGCAGGGGACCATGGGAAACACCAAGTGAGCCAGCAGCAGAGGATCATGAGAAATACCAACTGAACCAGCAGCAGAGGATCATGGGAAATGCCAACTAAACCAGCAGCAGAGGATCATGGGAAATGCCAACTGAACCAGCAGCAGGGGATCATGGGAAACATCAAATGAGCCAGCAGCGGAGGATTATGGGAAATACCAAGTGAGCCAGCAGCAGGAGATTCTGGGAAACTAAGTGATCTGGCAACACAGGATCCTGGGAAACTCGACGGGCTTATGGGGAATGTCAAGCTGGTTCAGCAGAGTGAGGGAGATGATTCTCATCTCTTGAGTCATCTCGCTTGTCGAAGGTAAAGACTGGGTGAGGAAGAGAGGTGCTCTCAGTCCTCAATAGTAGCTGTCCCACATGGGCCCCGAGGGCCGGGGCCACCCTCCCTGGGCCTCTGCTGCGTCCCCACTGCTAAGCACGGTCGGCCCCTAGTAGATGCTCGTTGCACAGAGGACTCTTTAAACAGCTAGTTAATGAGCACACAAATACGGGGTCTCCAAAAAGTTCAGGGAAAAAGCATATCATCTTTTAATTCCATTTCCCATGACCTTTTTGATCTGACCTTATAGACCCCTACACGTCCTGGTGGCTGTGTTCATCTCCCAGGATGCACCTGTGAAATGTCCGAGGGGCCTGCCCTCGTGGCCCCGTGGCCCTGTGGCCCTGTGGATGGAGAGCAGCTGTGTATTTTCAGTAATGACAACTATATCTGAGCAGCAGAGGTCTTCCACCTGCTAGTTTACTCTCCAGCTGCCCGCAATGGCTAGGTGTGGGCAGACGGGACCCAGGAGCCAGGAACTCGACCTGGGTCTCCCATGTGGATGGCGCGGACCCAACTGCTTGAGCTGCCACCTGCTGCTGCGTTAGCAGGAAGCTGCAGTGAGACATGGGACACGGGTGACCCCACTGGCACCTTAACTGCCAGGCCGGAAGCCCGCCCCAGCCTGCCTGTGCTGGGCACCTGCTCTGTGCTGGGTACCGGGCTGCCCTGCAGCCTAGGTTTTCAGCGTCTGTGCAGCTGTGGCACACTGTTGTCCTCCGCAGCTGATGCTCTCTGAGTTTGCTTGACTCAAGGTTATGCAGAGTGAGGCAGGGATGGCTACTGGTCTTAGACCAGATCAGGCTGGTTCCGAAGTCTGTCGTTTCCCTCCTCAGCGACCTGTTTCCTCCCAGAAAGGGGGGAGGAGGGGAGTGGAAAGGGAAAGCCTTCTTCAGGAGGGTTTGGAGATGATCAGAGCTGATGGAAAGAGACCAGGAGGGCAGGCACCAGCAGGAACATGGGCAGTGAGAGGGTATCGTACGGGCCTGGGCAGCCTGTGGAGTCCACTCTGCCCTTGTCCACGTCTTCATCATTGCCACCCTGCCCTCTCACTGCAGGCTCCCTGAGATTCTTGTGTGTGTGTGTGAGATGTGGAACAAATTTCTTGAGTTTCATATATACAATTTTAAGAGCATAATGATACTTCCCACCCTCCCTCACTTCTACTCGCCCTGAAATTCTTGATTGTCTCTGACCCCAGGGCCTTTGCACATGTTCTTTTCACTGCCTGAAACATCTTTCTGTCTTTGCTGACCCTTACTAATGTCTCAGCGTACTGCAGAGATGTCACCTCCTCTGTGAAGGCATCTCTGATCTCTCCCCTACCCCCAGGACATGGTTTGGTCCCCTGCCTGGTCCCTGCCCGACCATAATGCATAACATAGCTTTAATCGTGCCTGCCTCCTTCATAGTCCCTCGGGAAGTTAGATTCATGGCGTTGTGCTCACCATACTCCAGGCCCTATGCTAAGCACTTTGACCACCTTACTTTATTTAGTTCTCATTATAACCCCACGGGAATAGTGCTGTTGCGATCCGTATCTTACAAATGTGCCTCATTACCGAGGGAGGGAGAGGTTAATTAAGAGATGCCCGAGGGCCCAGGGCTGCTCGGTAAGGCTTCAGGCTGGGAGGTGGGGCAGCAGCGTGGCGCCTGGGGTCTGCACTGCCCACCCTGCTGCCTGGCCTTGCAGAGATGGCTGAGAGCCCAGTGCTTGCCTGGAATGGCCGGGACGGGTGGCCTGTGGGGCTTGGACAGCCCCAAGGCAGGGGAGCTGGGTCAGGTGGAACAGGTGGCTCGTGGGCCCCGAGCAGCCGCATACTGCCTCCCTCCTGGCGGGCGGGCTGTGGGGCTCTGGCACCCTCACCAGGGCTGTTTCTTCTGGATAATGAGGCGCTCCTGCTGTGGCCATGGTTGCCTTGGCTCTGGCCACGTGTGGAGCACCGTGTTCCCACGTTCCCCCTGGTAAACAGGTCAGGCTGATGAGGACCCCCCTTCTTCTCCCACCACCTCACTGCTTCATCCAGCGTGAACCTTCAACCCGTGACCCCTTGGGTCAGAAAACCAGGTGTGATGGACAGGACACGGGATTTAGCAAGTATCTGCTCTCTGCCGTGTTCTGTGTCCACATGGAGAAGGAGCGTGGACTCCATGACCATGCCCCAGACACAAGAGTGAGCTCCAGGGCCACAACTCACAGGCAGGGCTATGCACTAGAAGAAACGGGGACCCTGGATGCCACATGTGGCTCCCCTTGCAGGTCACCTATTCTTGGGGACCTGGCGGCTGTAAGAGGTGGACCAGGGAGGTGTTGCTGGGGACCGGGAGTGGGGCAGAACCAGGCTCACTGGCTGTGCATCTCTGTCCTCACAGTGCTGCCCAGCCACACGTGCGGGAACCCGGGGAGGCTGCCCAACGGCGTCCAGCAAGGCTCCACCTTCACCCTCGGCGACAAAGTCCGCTACAGCTGCAACCCAGGCTTCTTCCTGGAGGGCCACGCGGTGCTCACCTGCCAGGCGGGCTCGGAGAACAGCGCCACGTGGGACTTCCCCCTGCCCTCCTGCAGAGGTAGGTGGCCACAGGGGGTCCCAGGGAGCCAGTGGGCAGCAGCCGGAGAGGAGGCGGAGCTTCCAGTGGGATCCTGTCTTGGGTTGGGGAGGGGAGGGGCTGCACCACAGCCTGGTGTGGGGTTCCCACCAGGGGGAGCCACGTCTGGGGCCCAGAGGGTCCTCCAGGCTGTGGGTATTGCAGGCGCCTCGGGAGCACAGGCGTCTCCTGCTCTGGCCTGTCCCTCTGCCCCGGGAGAGCCGCGGTGTCACTTTCTGCCCCCAGTCACTCCTGCACGCCTTACCTGGTGATGCTGCTTCTCTCTCCTACCCACTCTGCCTCCCACCTTACCTCATGGTTCCTTCCAAACATGCCAGAGACTTGTGTACCCCAAAAACTCCACGCCCACCTCTCCCCAAACCCCACTATTCCGTGCCAGGTCGACCTCAGCCCCCAGCAAGGGCAACCACCTCATCTGCCTTCTCCCAAGACAGCCCCAGCTTCAGTCCTGGAAGCCTGTGCCCTAGAAACCAGCACCTGGGGCCCAAGCAAAGCCGAACCTTGGTGCCCTCCTCCCAGCCTGTTCCTTTCTGCTGCCCCTACTCCTAACAGCCCAGCTGAGTTCTAAAATGATGTCCAGTGGGAGTATCTGGCACAATACTTCAGACATGTGGCTTGGGACACCCGGATCCCATGTCTGAGTCCCCAGGTTCGAGTCCCGGATCCATTCACAATTCCAGCTTCCTACTGCCGCAGACCCTGGGAGGCAGCAGTGATGTCTCAAGTAATCAGGTCCCTGCCACCCTCATGGGAGACCTGGATTGAGTGCCAGGCTCCTGGCTTCAACCAGACCCAGCCCTGACTGTTCCAGGCATTTGGGAAGCAAACCAGTGTGTAGGCAATCTTTCTCCCCCCTCCTTCTCTCTCTCTCTCTCTCCCTACTCCTAGCCCTTTCCTCTGCCTTTCATATAAAGTAAATAAATAAAAATAATAATTTTGAATGACTTCTCTCTCATAGCAAAAATAATGTATGATCAATTTTAGAGTTAGCACACACAGAAAATATAAATGGAGGAACAAAATGACTCTATCTTAGGCAAAATCTTCATGTACAGGTTGAGCATCCCTAATGTGAAAATTCAAAATCTGAAATGCTCCAAGTCCTGAAACTTTTCAAGGGTCAAGATGATATCACAAGTGAAAAATTCCACACCATGAACCCTTGTTTTGTGTGCGAAGTTAGTAAGAATATTGTATGGAGTTATCCTCAGGCTACGTGTCTAAGATGCGCATTCGACGTAAGTGAGGTTCGTGTTTAGAATCAGGTCCCATGCCAAGGATAACTAGTTATGCATCTGCAAATATTCCCAAGCCTGGGAAACTCTGAAATCCCAAATACTGCGGTCCCAGACCTTCCGGAGATGGAATCCTGAGTTCATATTTCCCGCCCATCTTTGCCAGTTCTGCACAGTTGTGTGTGTGACAAATCGCTGGGATTGCGTTGTGGATGGAGCACATTTAACCACCCTGGAGAAACTCCCCAGCACATGTGGATGTCCCCACACTGCCCACGTGGCCCAGCGTCCTGGAGGTGCCCTTCAGCCTGGTGCCCCTCCCTCCTCTCCTTTACCCCTGGGTCCCCAGTGTTCTGCCTCACATCACCAATTCCCATGGCGACTGTCTTGGACTTTGCGTGCCGGACCTCTCTGCAGCCTGTTGCGCTATTGGCGTCCTGAAGCTCTCATGGTCCCTATCATGTGCCCTGGATCCCAGGACAGCCAGCTGTGGGCCTGGGAAGAGCATTCCAAGGCCCTGAGGAATAACTGGAACAGGTACCTCCGCCTCGCGCGCAGGCTTTGCTTTTCTCTTGGAGTGTGTTTTTCTGTAACGACTATCGGAAGACTAGTTCCCGGGATACGTCACCCCTCCTCCTGCCATATGCCCTCACTTTCTGGAATCGACAGCAGGGATGGAAATTACTTGGCACGTGCATCTAAGCTCCTTCCCACTCCTGTGGCAGACATAATTAATTGATCATAGCACCCTTTCTGCTGGAGCCCAGACATTGCTGTGAATTCTCTCCCAACAGGCAAGCCACCGCCAATCGATCCCTTTGAGTTGCCACTTGACTTCCCCTTGCTTTATCCTCCTCAGCCAACAGAGTTGGCTTCGGCCGTGTTGCTCCTTCTTGGTGGTGCCCAAGGAGATGAGAGGCCCACCCCCCCCCCCCCCCGGTCTCATTTCTAGCTCAGGGTTTGCCTCTCGGGGGAGACCACAGCCAGAAGCTGCTGCACCTGCCATCACTCACAGCATCCCTCCCCACTTGCCTGGGGATGTCACTGGTAATATTCTGACCCTGCCGGGAGGGTGTCCCAGGTTGTGACGTGGCAGCAGAACAGGAACTAGGACAGCGAACGAAATCACAACTTTAAATGGGGAAATATAAGAGCACTATTTATAGCACGTCCTTTTGTTCTAGACAGAAACCAAACTTAAATATCCTCCAAGTGTCAGAGGCAGAGGGGTGCAGCTCACCTCGGGTCCTGGGCTAACGCAGTGAGCCGCATTCCCCGGGGTCTTTGGCAGCCCGTCAGCTTTTGCCCCCTCTGAACCCTGAACTCACCACCTTGCCTCGCTTCCCCCAGGTCTGCTCTGCCAACTGAGGTAGGGAATTTGGCCCATTTTTCTTGGCCACTTCTCTCCAGAAGCCAAACACAGAACCTGAGAAAGGTGTCTCCCCCCGCCAAGGCTCAGTGGCCATGCAGGGAGCTCACATCTCAACAGCGCCAGAGGCTGCAGGCAAAGGCTGAGCCATCAGCCCTTCTCCCAGGAAGCTGCTCCCAGGCGTCTGTCTCGGAGGCTCCTGCACCCCCGTGGCGAGCGCTGGGTCCTCTCTTCTGCCACCTGGAGGCTTCCTGCGCCTTGGTCCCACGTCAGGATTTGCAGCCCCTTCTCAGAGGCTGCTTTCTGCTGGTGTGGCCGCCTCCAGAGGTGGGGCGGGGCAGGGAAGGCCTGCATGAGCCCCTGCCAAGGTGACTACAGGCGGGAGTGGAAATGCAGTGGATCCAGGTTGCAAATGATGTTCTAAGTCTCCAGGGTCTCAGGTGCCCGCGCCACCAGGCAGAGCTGAGGCACGAGGCTGCCTCCTCAGCCAGGTCAGATCCTGGCTGTGTGTCCAGCCCTGGGGGCCACTGGGAGGGGCGAGGCTGCTCCGCCTGCCTCAGGTCCCACACCAGGGCCCGGGGTCGCGGGTGTAGGGGGCCCTGAGTGCCCTCTGAGGTGTCCCCGGTTCCCACGTGGCCTCCCCATTGGAGACAGTGCCACCCCCACTCGTCTCCCACTTCTCACCCCACTCCTCCCCCTGCTCAGCCTCCCGGCCACTTCTAGGACCTCGGGGTGTTTTTACCTCCTGTTCTCCTGATGGTTGCCTGCCTGGGCTCCCTGCCTCCTGCCCCACCTCTGCCTGAGCTCCAGGCCCCTGTGGGTATGGAGCAAACTGCTTTGCACTGAAACACCACTGTTGTGTTTGCCTCTACAATGTCCCTTTCGTCACCTGCCCCTGTTCGGTGGAAAGTGTCCCCACCCAGAGGGACACCGGTCACACAGCAGGGACGTCATTCATGCACCCTGCCCCTCAGCAGCAGCCCACCCCTTGGAGGGCCCTGGGGACACCCCCTCCCCTTCTTGCTCTTGCTAGTACTACCCCACCCCCTGCAAACGTGAGCTTTCTAAGTTGCAGATCTGACAAAACCCACCCGTGGCTTAACATCTCGGCAGCGGGCCCTCGTCACTGATGGGGTCAGGGACAGATTCCTCAGCGTGGAGCATGAGGCCCTTCCAGACTTCCCTAGTCTGTCTGTTCAGCTTCTCTTAAGTGGCTTCTAACAGAGCGCTGTCTTCAGAACACCCCAGGGGAGCCTGCCAGGGCAGTCAGACCTGGGGGCTCCCTGCAGATGCTTCTTTGTCTCTGAGTCTGGGGGAGAGCAGCATGGCTTTGCCAGAGCCCCCCAAGGCCTTGGCCTGCCTCCCACACTCCAGGCCCACGGCCCCCTTCTCATTCTCCATGAGCCGCCTGACTTTCCCGAGAAGCGTCCCCAGGATGGCCAGTGCTGTTTTGAAGGTGATTTTCTGGACTGTTCTTCCTTGGGATGCCAAGCTAAACAGGAGTGAAGGGCACTCACGGAGCGCACACCCGCCGTGCCAGGAGCTGCAGTCATGCCCAAGTTAAGGGCTCTGGGCTCAGCAAGGACTAAAAGGCTTTTGGCCTGTCTTCCTCTCGTGTGGAGCTCTCGAGCGCTGGCATCTGTGACCGAATAAACCTCATCCACTGGGCAGTGGTCTGGAAATATTGGTTGAATGAGCGGCTGGCTGGCGGCAGCTGACTTGCCCCCAGGATCATGCAGCCATTGGACCCGGAAGGGAAGCCTGGCCATGACACCTGCCCATCAGCTCTGGGAGACAGGATCACTTCCAGCCCAGAGCTTCTCAGAGCAGACTAGAGAGTCGTGTGCCTCTGCTCCTTCCAGGAAACGCATGTGCTTGGCTGGAAGGTAGGTCTACTCTGGGAGCATGGCACAGCCTAAGGACCAACTGGGAGCCACCAGGATTGGAAGCAGAACAGGTGGGAGGCTGCACTGCAGGGAGACCCGTCCCAAGGCTCCAGGCCCCCACCCCCCGGAAGGTCAGTGCAGCTGACAGCTGGCAGGAGACAAAGCCTGTGACCCCCCGTCCCTTTGTGTCACTCCGGGCACCTTTTCAAAGGCAGAGGTCCCTGGGAAGAGCTGACTTCGTGGCGTCTCTTTGATGCACAGGAAAGCAGATGGTGTGGATGGTGTGGATTTCCACAGCTGGCCTCTGACTTGCGAGGGGCACTGGCCCTGGGACAAGGAAGGAAAGCAGCAAGCAGACTCGCTGGGGGCCGAGAGGCAGGTGGCAGAGAGAGTGAGCTGGCCTGAGTGCCGACTGCTTGGCCGTGGCCGGCCACTGCAGCCCCCTGCAGCCTCCACCAGGCAAGGGGAAAG